ATAAACGCAGGCTCAAGGGCGATCTGATGGCCACCTATAAATTTGTAAAGGGTGTCTACCAGGATCTGGGGGAACGTTTGTTTACCAGAGCACCCCAAGGGATGACAAGGTCTAACGGTTATAAACTCCTGCAAGACCATTTCAGGCTGGACATAAGGATGAATTTCTTTACTGTCCGAGCCCCCAAGGTCTGAAACAGCCTGGCATCGGTGGTGGTTCAAGCACCTACTCTGAACGGCTTCAAGAGAAAATTGGATGTTTATCTTGCTGTGATCCTATGACCCCAGCTGACTTCCTCCCCCTAGGGCAGTGGGCTGGACTCGATGATCTTCTGGAGGACCTTTCCAGCCCTTATGTCCATGAAATCAACATTTTCTTCACAGAGATATGCTGCAGTCAAGTCATCCCTCAAATCTTTTCTTTGATAAGCTAGTAGATATCTGCAAAAAGCCAAAAGATTCTTTTGATGCAGGCCCAAGCTGTTGTTTTCCCTGCTGCTGATAGATGTCACACTAGTCAGTAAAGATGACACTTACCTCCCTACCAGCCTTGCAAAAAGTGGCCTGTTGACCAGCTGTTTGAAAACAGGAGACAACTAGCTGCCTCCCAGCCAGCTTCAAATGTCCAAGTATAGATGTACTTCTGCATACACTTGCATACACACCCTTCCCCCAAAGCAACAGGAAGAGAGGTTTGCCAGACTGTAGATCTTTGGTGCCCCCACGCTGTATGGCAGTTTAGATGGACACATGTTTAGCCTAGACCTAGAACCAGCATTGGCTGGACAGCAAAAGAAAAGTTACAGAAAATAACCCAGTAGAGATCTATGTTTCCACATGCCAAATTTTGTATCAGTAAAAACAACAAGGAGATGACTTGACAGGACAAATAAAAAGAACTTAGAAGTACTACCCAAATAAGAAGTCTAAGACTTCCAAAACTAAATGAAGTATATATCTGAAAGTACAAGAAGCTATCATAAATATTTCAGAGAAATAAGTCACAGCGGAGGTGTGTAAGTGAAAATTGAGTAGAAAGGGGAACAGGAATGAGGATGGGGAAGAGAAAGGGAACCAAAGCTATGATCCATCAATCACACTGTCCCTCCTTTTTACAAAGTTTATGATAATCCATTTGCTATTCATAATTAATAACCTCTGTTAAAATAAAGTGACTGCATAACAAGCAAAACAATACAATGAATGAAACCATTTAAGATACATTTTCAAAATAGTTTCTTCTAACACTCTGCAAGTTAAGGATGTTTTACCAAGAGTAGAACTAAGGCATTGAAGCAAAATAACTTGGCCAGAACTGAAGAACCAAACTGTGGCAGAGCATTTGAATGCATCATAGGTCAACTCTTACTATATGCACATCCTTCTTCAGTTTTTTGGGTTTTTTTACATAGTCATTATCACCTTTTGTTCCAATGAAATTAATGTCATAGGACTTCTCTCTTACCATTGCAAGATCTTCCTGTAATTCGTGGCAATGTCTTTCATTATCCTGAAGTCTCACAGAGAGGTCTGTAATTACTTTCTTCTTTTCCTTGATCTCTTCGTTTAGTTGCTTGTTTGTAGAAAAGTACTCTCTTTCTAACCTGAAAAGTTTCTAGTGTTAGAACAGGTTTTTCAAATATATCTTTCTAAACAGAACTGATAGATGTAGTTTACATGGCACTTACATGCTATAAGGCTTTGAAAGCTGTCTTTCCTTTTTTTTCTTCTTTTTTTAATCAAAAAAATCCATGCCCCTCAAATGAAAGTTTTTAAAGACATGGTAACCTCCCCTTAAAACAGAGGTATCCATATTATGCCTGAAGTAAAAAATAAAGTAAGTTTGCTAGTCTTGATGGGGCCTCTAGATTATATTAAAAGAGGAAAATTCACCACAATTCAGTTAGCTCAGTAATTGCCTAGAGACTGAATGAGAATCAAGTCTTACCTAACCAGTCTTGAATTAAAGTGTACTAGTAGCACCTAAAGTATCTCTATGATGTCTTGTTATGTTCTTCTCTACATTGCAGGGCATAAGATTTTAATGCTTAACAGATGCTCAAACAATCATAAACATGGCATGACTGTAAATGGCAGGGACAGTGGGACCCTCATCTCACTGTCTCTTCTCCTAACTTGTTTCCTTGTGCCTGGAGTGAAAAAAATCAATTCTTATTCCCTCTACTTTCAGACTTTTATCTTGCCCTTGATTTGTTTGCAATTTTTTACACTCCTTTTTTAATAAAAAAAAATTTGTATTTTAAGCAGCCATAAAAGCAGCTGAACATATTTCTGGCAGCCCACCCAGGGAATCATTTTACTTTTTTGTGTAATAGGCTTACTTGTTGCTCTTTTTTGGCTTAAGAGGGTACTAGTGTGCACCCTCCTGCTCTCACTCCTCTTCTCTCTTCCATCTTTAAATGTGTTTGTATCCAATTAGCATGCCAACAATTAACAGGCCATAGTTCTCTTTACAAAAAAACCCTCCAAAACACACACATTCAGATTCAGTTCTCACAATTTTCTACAATTCTGGGTTTGACATCTGTTAGGGTAAATATAATACTGTAATGAAATATGGTAAATCAGATACCAGCTCCCTTAACATGATGGATAGAATCCTCTGGGTCAACATTTCCCAACCCTTTTCACTGCAACACACTTGCATGGCCTCCCCCAACCCATGGCATACTGGCCGAGCAGGGCGCGAGGGGGGTAGTGAGTGGCCAAACACTGCGGAGTGGGGGGGGGAGGGAGAGGAATCGGGTGGTGAGCAGCATCTGTATCACTGGCTGGAGCCATGCCCCGCATCTGTCTGGCTGCCCGCAGCAGCAGCAGGCAGAGGGCGTGGTTCCAGCCAGGTTGGGGGCATGGCTCCAACCCAAAATGCTGCAGCACACCAATTGGGAAATGCTGCTTTGGGTGATGCTAATCTCTCCCAAAGGTGCAGCTGCAACAGAGTTGTGGGACAAAAGGGAATATCTGAGAGGAGAAATGGTTCTATGGTGACAGTTTACAGATTTAAAGGGAACCGAGGACAGTGCCCAGTGCTTAGGACTAAAGCCTTGAGGTGCCTAAGGAATAAGTCCCTTCCCTCGTAACTCAGAAGAAACTGTAATTCCTGTGACGCACAGGCCTCTAGAACAAAGTACAATGGGAGATGAGTGACGGATAAGCAGGACTCCCTCCCTCAGAGGAGAGAAACATGGAAGACATTTAAAGGTGCTGACAAAGAGAACACTATCTGCTCACATGTGACTTCTCCACTGTATCACTGAAAAAAAACAAACTTGGACACTAGCAGGTACCTGTGAAGAAAAAATTCTGGCAAGGGGCTATTTTAAAAAAAAATATTATCACACTTCCAGTTTGACTTTGACTAACAGGTCCAAAGGGAGAACTCCCACTTTCCGCTCCTAGTCAAGGCCTTACTTTTACTTTAAAAATATTTAACTATCGAAAGCCTTGCTGCTGAAGCAATCAATAAAAAAATTCCAGATCAAAAATAATGTGAAGATATAGAGTCGTATTATTTAGCTGCTTCAGTATAAGTGATCCCTGACTCTGTTATCAATTATTAAACCAAACAGGTATCTTGATTGGGGATATTTTCTTGTTGCACCAAAAACTAAAATCAATTAGCTCCAACAAGCATGTATACCACATCATGAGAGGGATGGTCTAGCCCAGTTTTGTTTTTTTTATTTCTTTGCAAGAGCTTAACTCTCCCACTAAACATTATTTTTTATAATTAATAAAAGGTTAAATTCTAAAATAGAGCAGTGTTTCCAAATTTACTGGTACCATAATTGTAAAATTTATGTCCTATTAGTGTTAGTTTATCTAAAAAAGTTGATTAGCCATAATAAAAACATGTTTCCAAAAGCAATTTTAGACATAAAGAACTCCTCCTCCCTAGGGCAAAGTTTACCACACATTTATTCTGCTTCTCTCATTTCTTTCCGGACTTACGTCAAAAGAATTAAAGCAATAAATGTTAATCATCATTATGCAAAAACTTTCTTGTGTTTTCAAGATAAAACCAGATCTGTACAACTAGATAATGGTCCTGATACTGATCCAACAAGTATTAGATTTAATACAGCTGAATGTAATTCCATATCTATCCATTTATTCTTACACTAAAATGAATAATTACAATGTAAAAATATGAGTCTTCTGCATTTTTTTCTTATAATGGTCTGAAAGATTCATCAACTGAATTAGGGTCAATTATAAAAGAATCAATTGTTTTGGTGGTCATTGTTTAAGTTACATTTAGCAAATAAAATTCACCCCAGATCCATTAGCCTAAAACTTTAAGACCAAATGATGTTTCAACTGATTTTAAATTATAATGCAACAGTAGCACCCAAAACATCTCTACAAAGTTCAGTCTGGCTGTTGGCTATTTGAACCTGCATGGTATAAACGTTTTAATGATTCACAAAATTCCAAACAGATGTTTAAACAATAATGACAACGTGGTCTAATTCTATGTAGTTTCATTTTTATTCTTAAGTTATTAAAGTATGTGTTTCCAGAGCACATTCAAATCAACATCAAACCAACTCAAACATCAAGACTCACATCTCCCTTACTTACATAAGCATTATTTCCATTTTACAATGGTGTATAAAAGGGGCCCAGAGGGCCCAAGGTCAGTAAGGATGCCAATAAAAGACAGACTTTGACAGACAAGTCCCAAGCTGTAACCATTAGAAAATATTCTATTATTGACATATGCAGTATTGCCAACTCTTGCAAATTTATTTGAGTCGTGCGATTCTGGCACCTGCAGGAGGCACTCTGGATCAACCTGAATTTATTTTGTTCCCACAATTTTCACTGTTGGATACCAGTGCTGTGTAAGAAGAGGAGCTGGTGGGCTGAGAACATGGACCAGCCCTACTCACTGAGGCCTTCATCTATGGATCAGCTCTGTAGCAGTAATAGCAGGGACAGGGTTCTATAGAGAAGGGATCTGAGAAAGGTTGCTGCTGGGTTTGGAGACTCAGTACCTGCCTGTTTCCTCCTGCCCCAGGACTTCTCTAGCCCAGACCTGGCAGCAGCTTTTCTCCAGCTCCATTTCCTTCCCTCTCTCCTGCTGCTCTAGGACCCAATAGCTGCTCATTCCAAAGCAGTGGCAGGAGGCTAAGGACTAATGAAAGGGCTGTCAAAAAAACCATCTTGTACCCTGGTCAGAAAAAGAAATAAAATATAGTCTTTAAAAACTATTAGGAAAACTGACATTTAAAAAAAAAATATGATCCATGAACAACTTCCATAATTAATCAAAATAATGCAAGTAACAGAACAATTTAAGAAGATTTTTTTTAACGTTCTTTGAATGTGAGAAAATTCATTTTCTAAAATTTAAAGGCAGGAGTGTCAAACTTATGGCCCAAAGGTTGAATCTAGCCTGCAGAGTCATGGTGTGTGGCCTGCGGAGCTGGAATTCAGGAGCAGGGCCTGCTGCCAAAATCTGAAGCATGGAGCTTTGTTGGCAATGCACATGTAATGCATTAATCCTTGCCACTGCTCAACCCACTGCTGCCATATCCAAATGTGGCCCAAAAGGAGTCCTGTTGTCTGAATCCAACCTGGCTGAATGAAGATGAACCTGCCATTGAAACTGTCCTTGAGTTACAGATCTAAGTATCTGAGAGAGAGAGAGAGGATCTCAGGCAGTGGAAAAGGTAGTAGACTCGGTTGTCTCTCATCTCCTCTTAGCTACTGAAAAACATTCCAGAAGCGGTGGGGCTTTCATCACAACTTACAAAATATTTGCATAATGCATCTCTATTGAGTTCACACTTGTCCAAATCTATTCAGACTTTTTCCCCCCTTGTACACACAAGATCATCATGCAATCTGTAGCTGAAGACAATGACAGGAACAACAATAGCACAATGTTTATTTATGGTGTTTATTCTTAGTGTTGGCCTGCAGGCAACACCGGAAGGAACATATGGCCTGTAGGCTGCCATCCAGCCCCAAGGCTGCCCCTGGATCTGATCAGATCCAAAATGGGCCTATGACCTGGGGGAGGGGAGGGGGGAGAAGGTTTTATGGCCAGATTTAGCCCACAGACCCCTCCCATCCCATCCTGCCACCTCCTCCCCCAGCATACCTGATCCAGCAGCTAGCTCTAGCCAGTCTGGGACCCACAATGTGTTCAGCGCATATCAGAGAGCAGCTGGATGTGCACTGCATGTGCATCTGTCTAGCCAGAGCAGCAGTCTTGCTGTACACAGTGGCTGCCCCAGCCAGACAGGACAACTTCCAGTACCCACTCTGAGAGTGCACCACACACACAGTATGCCCTCTCCAGCCAGTTTAGGGGGTGCATGTGCACTCCAATGCACCTCCTGTGCATCACCACTGCTTTCCTACCTCTCCTTTTTTGCACATAAAATAAATATATTACAAATTGAGAACCTAGAGGAGAATCTCTTTCCCAGAAGACATACAAGGTAAATGACATATCACTGACAGGAAAGGTGAAAATGCAAGAAACACCAAGCTTAAAATGTAGTTCTTAATCTTCAGACTGCCACATATTCTTCCATAATAGTGCCCACAATACCAACCAAGTAACAAT